ATATATATATATATTAAAAAGTAATGTCGAGTAAAAGGTAAGTAAAAGATAAGGCATTTTAATGGTATGTTATATAAAGATACACACCATGTCCACCTTCGCCTCCTCTACTTATGTCATAATGTCCACCAGATGCTTTTCCATATTTACCGCCAAATCCTCCAGTACTAGATCTGCCTAAAAACATCAAATAATTCAAACTGTCTAAGAAAAAGATAGAACATAAGAAATATTTGCAGAAAAAACACCAATTGCAAGAAAATTTTTTTAATTTGTTAAAATCTCAAAAAATATAAGCAAGGGCATTTTTTTGCACAACATGCGAACAATTAGGATTAAAATCAGCATCCCTCGTGCAATATGATTCGATTCTTATTAATTAAATCTTATGTTTATAGTCTTTTATTCCTCGAGATTCTGGAAATTCTATAAGCAGTTAATATAGGTCCAGTAAATCTTTCTATGCGAATTAGTTATATTGAAAAAATAAGGGGGGGGGGAATTCTGATCACCGAAAGGCGATCACAGGTTACGCATTGGCAAAATGGTTGTTGTCCAATTTATTTTTTTACCCTCTTTATTTGTGTTATTCACCAGAATTAGTATAGAAAACGATCCAGCTTGAACTGTAGGTTAGAAAATTAAAACAATAAAAACAAAAATATGATTTAAATGATGAAATTCTCTTTCATTCACAACTCAAAAATTATTTATGGGATCTGTCTGGTCCCATTTCTAATAAATAAACTCAACAACTTAATGCATAACAAAATTAAAAGTGAAAAAAAGAATCTACAAAAAATTCTCTAACAGCAGCGATCGCCATAGCAACGCATGCAATGACGACGCATGCGCACTGTTTACTATTACTCTTGAACACAGTTGATAAGTGTGATGATGTCCAAATAAGGAGGGCACGCCATCAAACCCAAAACAACACCCATTCTGCCAAAGGGTAATGAATATTCTTATATGGGTAATAAATATTGGTGAATAGTAATCTGTCGATACATACGATATCCAAATTCGCCGCTGCTTGCGTCATATCCTCCAACGGATACCTCATCATCTCCTCCGCCAAATCCTCCACCGTATCCTCCATCACTAGGCATGCCTAAAACATCATGATCATAAGAGAATTAACACTGCTGCCATCACCAATAGTCTGTAGCGTATCTACCACTACAAAAATACAATTCCAATTCACTAGAATATAACACATGATAATTCGATTTTATGAAGGGGTACTTTTTCATAGATGAAGGTTGACATGGTCCATAACAACTCTCCCCACATTAGTGACCCGGACGAGATGTGAACACGCCTACCTTGGCAGAAACGTCCACTACGATTTGAACACACCTACTTCGATGAATGGTCCACATTGAGCAGTTGACTTGATACTTGTGACAGCGACATTGTCCTCCTCACGCTTCTCAGTCTCGATTACACACAACCTATACACTCGACTGCGAATGGCAACACAGGAGCAACCGTGAACTTAATACAGCTATCATGATCAGCACTCAAAAAGTACGGTGATCTTATTACAGCTCTCCCGGCTTCTCACAAAACAGCTTTAAATCAACTAGTGATATTCGTTCATCGAATTCTGTCACAGATATAATTCTGGTGAAGGAGTACTGTAGCGTATCTACCACTACAAAAAATACAATTCCAATTCACTGGTATATGAAACATGTTAACTCGATTTTATGAAGATTCTTTTCATAGATGAAGGTTGACTTTGTCGATATCTGCTCTCCCCACAAGCCTATATTGCAGCTCTAGTGCGACGTAAATAAAGTACCGACCTACCTTTTCACTTTTCGCAAATACGCTATCGCTATCACTTAGCTTACTATGGATATAAGTAGGGATTTACGTTTATCAAATATCGGATTTCGCGCTATTCTTAACCGCTCCCAATAAAAATTGAATATTTTTTACCATCTTAACTTTTGGCCTTCGATAGAGATGTCGACACTATGTTCACCGGAAGGTAAATAGATTCTGCATCCCATTTTTCGTAATTTGGATACACTTAAATTTAGTATTTTATTCTGGAATGGGATTTTTCCTTAATTGGTTCGATTATAACCTAACCAAATTTTATAATTGAGAGAGGGAGTTTTGAATCTGTCGAAATTTCTTTTTTATTTGGTAAATTGACATTCCGGATCACTGCATGTAATGCATGCATATCAAAAATTAATTTAGGATCAGTGAACGTTTTTGAACAGAACCAAAAAAAAAATTAGGATTTTTAAAAAATCAAAATTGGAGATTTGTGAAAATAATGTGAATAGTTAGATTGCTCCCTATATTAAAAAATAGTAAGGATCATGACACTCAAAAAACAGCAGCGTCAGTTTCGGATGTTAAACTTAATGTAGCATTTTCGTTTGCAATGCAAAAATGATATGATTTAGAAACTTGAAAATTCTGAAGTGTGTAAAAAATGTACAGAAGTTATAATGGAATAAAACATTTAGCATTCGATAACTTTTTCCAGAATTATTATGTGTTTAACTTGTAGGTACCATACGGCGCAAATGCCTACTACTAAGAATAAAATCCTCACCACTTGTACAATGTTAGTTTATTTTTACAAATTAGGTATTACTTATGCCTATGGGATATTAATCTCGAGACCTTGCAAATTCTTAAAATTTTAAGTGAATGAGCTGCTAGTCTCATAAAATGAATTAGTCGTGTTGAGAATACGAGAAAAAATATTTCCTTTCTGTTAAAAATTAATACAGCGATACACACCATATTCACCTCCGTCATTGGTGACGTCATAACCTCCATATCCACCTCCAATTTCTCCACTATAACCTCCAGCATCGTCTGAAAACATTAACGTAAAATAATCAAAAATAAAAACGAAAACTGTTTTTTAAATGTACACAAAATATATAATTTATTATGTTTACAAAAATATGTATCTTTCACTTATGTGTAAGATCTGAAAGCCAAAATGCAATAATTATGAATGAAATATCTTGATTTTTCTACAATGCAATTTGATTCTTGATTTGATCGTTAGTATAAACTGGTTGTACTAACGTATACATGATTTTGAAATTCAAAAGCTTGGAAATTTTAAAATAACATGCAACTAGTAGATCAGGTGAAGTAGTAATGCATAGAAAAAAATAGTATGTATCTTTCAGTTATGCATAAGATCTAAAAGCCAAAATGCAATAATTATGAATGGAAATCTAGATTTTTCTGCAATGCAATTTGATTCTTGATTTGATCGTTAGTATAAACTGGTGGCACTAACGTATACATGATTTTGAAATTCAAAAGCTTAGAAATTTTGCAATTTAAAAAATAACATACAACTAATAAATCTGGTGGTAATAATGCATAGAAATCGAAAGAAATATAATTCTTAGAGGTAGAACGAAAAAGTAATTTAACGATAGATACCATATCCATTTTGACCACTGCTTGCTCCATAACCTGCACCAGATGCTTCTCCATGTCCACTGCGATATCCTCCAATGTAACCTCCAGCACCAGACATGCCTAAAAACATTGTATAGAGAGCAAAAAAATATATAGACCACTGTTAATAATTTTTGATCCAATGATCTTCACGTTCTAGGACTCAATCTTAATGGTTCAAGGGGGTGATCGAAAATATGATAATTAATAAGAGCAGATGATAATTTAAGTTACAAAATCTGATACAAAAACGTACTTTCTCTGAATAAACATATCTTTTATTGAACGAATTTGAATTTTGGATCCTCAAACTATATGGGGTGGCCACAATCTCGGACATATGGTCAAATTAGTTTGCTCAGGAGAGGGATCCAAAATTCTTTATATCTCTTGAATTTTTAAACGAATTCAAAAATTTTGGAACACTATTATAGAATTCGTTGATCCAAAGATAATTCCGTTCAAAAAATAAATTTTAGTAAATGTTTACTTGTTTATTATTTTATTTAGTAACAGAGAAATTTTGTATAGTAAGGTATATTGCATAATTTTAAAGTAAGTAATTTTAAATTGCGAGATATAAAATTCGACCGAAATCATTGGAAAAATTCCAGAGAAATTAAAATTTTAAAAATACGACTATTTTTAAAAGTTGATTTCTCAGTAATTATTCTACCGATTTCGCTCAAATTTTGTATTTCGCTATGTAGAATTACAAACTTGAACATAATGCAGAAAATTCCAATGATTCCCAATTTATTAAAATGGTCCTAATGATTCCAATTCAATGATTCTAAATTGAGCATATTACTCTTAGTTTTAGTTCTTAATTTTTTAATTTATTTATATTATTTTTTGAAAACTTAGATTAAAAATTTTTTTTGCGACCCTTCAGATTGGGAACTGTTGGCCTGAGGTGATCTAGTAATGTTAAGAAAACTAAAATAAATATTTTTTACTAGTAAAAAGTAACATAAACAAATAAAAGTATTAGAAGTAACGATACATACCATATCCACCTCCTTTTCCGCTTGCGCTATTATCTCCATGTTTACCCCTATAGCCTCCAAATACGACTATAAACATTAAAAAAAATAATATATATAGGTTGAAAAAAATGGGATTCACAAAATATTAACACCAGTGGCACTCTGGGAAGGTTTTTTGTCCCTGCCAAAAAGTGAAGGCACTTCATGAGTGGCCTACTATGGCCACTCATGAAGCGCAAGTCGGAGGTTTGGTAATATCTTGGTCTGATCTGGAAGGAAGTGTCTTTCAAATTACTATGTGTGGTTGGGAAGAGTTCTTACAAGATTGTTTAGTTGAGTCGTGGTAAATCAAGGGATAGAGCCAATGAGGTGAGTCACAGTGCTGACGTAAGTTATCCTCAGTGGTGGATGGATCATGGGTCCGAGTCTGCTTGTCGTCAGGCTTACCGTGGGAGGTTTTCCTCTCCAAGTAACGCAAATGCGGGTTAGTTCTATTAAAAAAAGTCATCCGCGAAGTCAAATTTCTCATAATACTTGATCATCTGGATTGGGTTCAAAATTACAAGAAATCGAAGTTGAACATTGGTAGCTGTAAACTAAAAGTTCTGTCGGCTGTTTAACAACATTTATAAAATTATAAATATTGTTTAGTTCTGTTCTCACAAGGAATAAAATCTCGAAAAATGTAAGATTCCTACTAGTGGACGCACACCTTCATCAGCAGCAGACCAAGCCAAGAAGTCGACCCTTTTATTGCCTTCTACGGGATCCATTTACAGTGGATCATACATTTGCCTTCTGTCAAGAAGATTAGAAAAATGTCCACGCTAGACTAATGCCCAACCATACTCCAATTAGAGAGGTAACATTTCTGTAGAAACTTTTCTCTTTATATTTTACGATCTATAATTAAGTAAAAATATAATAATACGGAAATTTCTCGTCACTTCTGAAACGTTGTTATGCCTTAAAAATCGGCTTTACGATTGGCTCTATATTATTTTCTATTCCCTGCCTGAGATATTTTACAGTTTACGAAGGAAGTTCAGCTGACCTTTTGATGCGAAATGTTGAGAAAATTTTAAAAAATTGCTCAATTTGGTAGTAAGTAATGGAACGATTCATCCAATTCTAGATGCTCCAACATACATATACTTAGTGCCGCGATGGCTCAGATAGAGCATTCGCTTTCCAATGAGGTGAACCGGGGTTCGATCCCGGCGATGGCTGGTCGATACAAATTCCTCATCTGGCTTACACCGACCACAGTGCTGACGTGAAATATCCTCAGTGGTAGACGGATCATGGGTTAGAGTACCCTTGCCGTCAGGCTAACCGTGGGAGGTTCTCGTGGTATTCCTCTCCATGTAACGTAAATGCCGGTTAGTTCGATCAAAAAGTCCTCCACGAAGGTGAATTTCTCCCAATACGTTCCCAGGCGTTCCCTTGTCTTCTGAATAGGGTTCAAAATGACAAGGCTACGGATTTGAACATTAGTTGTCGTAAATCCGAGAATTGGGTCGGCTGTTTAACGACGGTTATAAAAATATATATATATAAAAAACATACCTATACTTAGGCAGAATTTTATTTGTGATTAGTTTGGGAAAGGCCACATTAGCAAATGATCCAACAATTTTAAATTGCCCAACAAAGTTTAAAACTGGGCTATCGGAAATGATTAGTTTCTCTATGTTCTGTAATGTTTTTTGGTAAGCAAAAAAGTATCCAACGATGCTTCTTCTCAAACTTTCCACTTTCGAATGATTGGGTTTTCACGAATGATCAATTTTTTTTCTATCTTAATTGTACGAAGAGTCCTTTAACAAAAAATTAATTAGAGCAGTAGAGATGATACGAACTCAACCCTAGCTCGGGGTTGTTAGCTGAGAAAAATGTCTCGGCATCGGACTCATGATAAGGTTTTCATTAGCTTTGTCACTACTTTAAACCCAACGTTTCGTTCAGTTATGAAAAAAGTAAAATTTCTAAATTATAAGAAATTACAATGATCTGCTACTTCTGTCCGGTGCCTTTGCTTTACAGTAGCAAAATTTTTATCTTTATCCCATGTTAACTCAGGCTTGGGAGGATTCTAGCTCTAAGTAATCCTATGTATTTCAGGGTCAGGTGGACTTAATTCAAATTTCTTCGAGCCCAAATAGTAAAAATAATTTTAGTAATATTGAATCATTTGCTTAAATATATTTCAAGAAAAGAAACAAATCGCAATTGAATTACATTAGGAAATTTTATACAATTAACGATACAAAAATGAAAAAAAACTTATTATTTATGAACAGTACTATCATGCTACCAACCATATAGGCCATTATTTGCGCCATATGGTCCTACAAGTCCTCTGGGATATCCTTGTCCATTTCCTCCCTTGTAATTTTCTCCCTTGTAATTTCCTCCCTTGAAATTTCCACCAAAACCTCCAAATCCTGCTCTATATTCTCCACTGGATTCTCCGCCGTATCCACCTCCAGATACTGTGCCATATCCTCCTCCAGGTTCACCTCCATATGCTCCACCAGGTCCACCACCATATCCTCCACTGTATTCTCCACCGTATCCACCTTCAAATCCACCTCCATGGACTCCACCATAACCACCTTCAGATCCTACAGCATATCCTATTGCACGAGATCCACCTCCGGATATTACGCCATATATTCCACCTGGTCCAACGAAATATGATGCACCAGGTCCACTGCCATATGTTCCATCGAGTCCATTGCCATATGTTCCATCGAGTCCACTGCCATATGATCCACCAGTTTCACCATTATATGTTCCACCAGGCCCTCCACCATATGCTTCACCATGTTCTCCGCCGTATTCTCCTCCATATCCACCTCCAAATACTACGCCATATCCACCTCCGAATTCTCCCCCATATCCTTCTCCTCCAGATACTACACCGTATCTATCTCCAGAACCTCCTAGATATGCTCCACTGGATCCACCAGCGTATATTCCTGCAAATCCTCCATCGCCTAATGAACCTATAGACATTATTAAATGTAAATACATGCTGTTATGTTACGTAAAACACATTTATAATTTAAATTTTAAAACAAATACTAGTAACAACAAACTGTGAAACTTATTATTGATCACATCATAACAAATATAATTTATTTGGCATTCATTAAATCTCAGGGTAAAATGATAGTGACTATTTTACGTCGCATGTGTGATGAGGAAAGTAACTTTTATTCGATAATAGCTTTAATAAATAATAGGAAGGAATACTACAGGTTATATTCTTTAATTCCATGTACATGTCACATCACCTAAGCACAGGGAAGTATCTGGTTCTATTTTTAAAGCCCAATCTTCCAATGGGTATAGTAGGAACGCACACCATCCAACCATCCGCAGATCGTAATTTTGACCAGAGCCATAGCACGATCAGTCTCCAATCCAGTATCCCCACAGGTATTGATTTGTTATGGGAACTTAGAAGACTTTATAACCCCACGGAGTTTGCGTGCACCAGTCACCATTTTGTACACAGGTCTTCAGCCGTTGGAGATCAAACTCACGTCCTCATGGACATGTGCCAAATGCCTCACCAGCCAGGCTATCCATTTTCACAAAACTTACGCCACTAGATAGAGAATTAAAATCTGCATATTTTGAGAGATAAGTTAATGCAATTAGTGTTTTTCTAAATAAATAATATATTAAACAATATATTAAACAATTAGAGCACTGTTTTTACTATTTAGAACAATTTAAAATTCACTTAAATTGTCAAACAGCTCCTTTAAAACTTACAGATCAGTTGGGTGGTAAAGTCACAATTTTATTTAGTCCTAATTTGTTACAGACAATAGATCAAAAAAATAATCAAGTTAAATTATAGAGTTATGTTACAAGTTAGAGAATTAAATTCTACACAATTTGAGTCATGGATTGATGCCTTTTGCATGCAGAAAATTTATTTCTTCAGAATTAAATTACCAAAGTTAAGGCTAGGGAGTTAGTAAGCAGAAATACTAAGGAAAACTTGCAATTCACTCTTATTGGATATTTCTCGGATAATTTAGGTGCAATTGTCGAAGTTGAAAACAGCAAAAATAGCAATTAGAAATAAATGTAAATGTTAAAAAAAATGACTTACAGTTTTTCAGTCTTAATATTATATTCGATTTGTTATCACATTCGATCATAACCAAATATCAATGTTCGAGAAAAAACAAGATTTACATATTTAAAATAAACTTTAAACTGCATTTACATACTTAAAATAAACTTTAAACTGGTACTGATCCATTGCTTTTCGAGAAAATCCTTCATAATTTGGGGTATATGATGCTTCTCGACGAGAAAAACTCTTCTATTGGTTGTTGGACTTAAAAGAAAATGTTGGTGTTAACCGAAAGAACATCTAAGTTCCGGTTGCAGTTTAGTATATTAAAGCCTAAGGAACTGTAGCTGTTAACCTTCCATTCGTTGGAAATTGTTAAAATATTTTACTAACTTAAATAGATGCTATTGCAATTGATGGATTTTATTAGTTAATTAGCATATTGATTGTGAAAAGGCTTATTTGAAAATTTATTGATGACTTTATCTAGAATGATGTTCTTCACTGTTACTGTCCGTCTTCAAACACGGCGAATCGCTGAGGAGTGTCCGCCGCTTGTCGTGTTAAGACTCTATATTTATTTATTTTTCTTGATTTAAGGTACCCGACAAACATTTTTAAGTCGATTTTGACCAAAATATCAATTTCCTACATTTTATATAAAATAAACCTTGAATCTTTCTCTTACAAATACAGCTCGAGTTTTGTTTCAACGTCAAATAGAACAGAAGTCATGATGATTTAAGGAAACATCTTCGGTAGTTAATAAATTGATAGCAGTGTCTTTTTTTTTGACATTTTTCTCAAAACTCATTTTTTTGTTTATTTTTCTTCATTCTAAAAGAAATATCTAAAAATATATTATTTGAAATTACTTGAAATTTTGTATGAATGTTTTCTACACACAATATCGAAATAGACTATAGAATAGTGGATTAAGCTATTATTTTTATGTTGTACAGCAAAAATAAAAATAATTAATCCCAATTTTTGGCCCTTATAACAAAATAAGTTTTCAATTTTTGCTGTAAAATATCTAAATATAAATATTATATCCAATCCTTAGTTTATTGTCTAAGTTGATTTTCATCAGTATTATAAAGCACGAGTAATCCAAGAATATTAAATTTTAATGAAAGCATGTAATTTTGGATCTTTTTGGGGCTTTTTTTTCCACTCATGTTACTTTTTAAAAACTTTTTTCTTAGTATTTTTTTTACGTTCATACGATGTTTTAGTGTATAATGCATGCATAAATCTAAATTAAAAATTTCTAAATTAAAATTTTAAAGATTTTGTCTCTGAAGGTACCTTAAATTAAAATAATATTGAACATCTATATATTTCAGTGTAGAATTTAAATTCGTTTTGGATATTCACAAAATAACCAAATCATGTATTCTTTACACTAGAGCTTCACATAGTTCATTTAACTATTAGTTCATTAAACTATTAATGTAAACATTTAATTCCTTGCGATTGTTGAAATTTGTGGGACTAGGCACGCCTAACCACTATGAAGATCAGATTCCGTTCTATCATTCACAATCCTGTGAATCAATTAGAAAAAATAGTTAAAATAATTTTGAATCACTTGCTTAGATAAATTTCTGGGAAATAAAATTAGATGGTATTAATCAAATATTCGTATTTAGCGATATTAAAATAAGTCTCTCTCTTTTTGTAATGAGCTCTATGATGCTACCAACCATATTCACCCATGCTTGCACCATATGCTCCACCAGATTCACCATCATATGCTCCATCAAGTCTACCATCATATGTACCGCCAATCTCTCCACCATATCCACCTCCATATGCTCCACCAGCACCTCCACCATCTCCAGTGGCAGGTAATGAACCTATAAACATTATTAAAAGTCAAAACAGGCTTCTCCACTTTTCAATGTTCTACGAAACACATTTACAATTCTAATTTGTAAACGAGTAGCAAAAATAAATTACAAAACTTTTTATAATTGCATTATGATAAATATAATCTATTTGTCAGTCGTCAAATCATTGTGTATAATGATTGTGACTAATTAACGTTACTTGAGAGATTAAAAAAATTTTATCGGAGGATGCATATTCTCTAAGCGTTAACAGAAATTATGACGAAATACTAAAAACAATATTCCTTACATCCACGCCCATCTCCTCCGTAATCATTCCAATAAATCAAAATTCAAAATAAAAATAGTTTAAATAATATTGAATCACTTCTATAAATTTCAAGAAAATAAAAGGAAATTAAAAAATATAATGAAATGGAAAAAAATGAAATGAAATAAATTAAAATTAATAAAAATTTGCATGTTTCACGATATAAAAATAAAGCAACACTCTTTTTGTAAACAGTACTAAGACACTGCCCACGATATCCGCCAGTGCTTGAGCCATATGTTGCATCAGATCCACAGCCACATTCTCCACCAAATCCATCGCAATCTCCTACTCCAGCTCCGTTTTTATAAGTTCAAAGAGATCCCCCGTCGTATGATTCTTTCAATCCTTTACCACATTCTGCTCCAAATCCATCTCCTACTCCAGCTCCGTTTTTATAAGTTCAAAGAGATCCCCTATCGTATGATTCTTTCAATCCTTTACCACATACTGCTCCAAATCCATCGCCATCTTCTACTCCAGATCCGTTTTTATAAGTTCAAAGAGATCTCCTGTCGTATGATTCTTTCAATCCTTTACCACATTCTGCTCCAAATCTACCATTACGTTCACCTGATCCTGCAAATTCGTTGAGAAGAAATGTGTATTTGAAAATTTATTTTGAAAATTTATTAATTTCATCATCTGGATTTCTTGATCTTATCATCTGAAGGTATTCTGAAGTCTGAACTTCATCTGTTCTTTACAGTTGTATTGTTAGGGTCCGTCACATTACACGGGGAAATACTGAAGATAAGATCGTCTCACGAGCTAAATATCTATATTTTATTTATTTGTTAAATTAGTTTAAAATAATGGTAAGTAATAATTATATAGTTATAAATGGAATCTAAGCAAGATTTTTGCAAAATAACAATTAACGCAATTATTTTTTACATAAGCGCGTTACATAGTATTTTTTCAAACCATTATGTAAAATAAAATTCTTGGGGATGTTTAAAGATTGCAGGAGCTGGGCATGTCTTACAACTACAGAGGTCAGAATTCATTTCATCATTCACAATCATGTGAGATAAGCGAAACTAGAAGAAAAATAATTTAAAGAGTATTGAATAAATTGGTTACATTAATTTCAGGAAAATAAAATTAAATGGCGCTAGTAAAGCTTACATATTTATTGAAATAAAAATAAAATAATCTTTTTTGTAAAGAGTTCTATGATGCTACCCACCATATCCACCAAACATGACACCATATGCTCCACCAGGTACAAGACCATATGCTCCACCAGGTGCAAAGTCATATGCTCCACCAGGAACAACGTCATATGCTCCATCAGGTCCAATGCCATATGATCCATCAAAGGCTCCACCAGGTTCAACACCATATGCCCCACCAGGTCTACCATCATGTGTTCCACCGAATCCTCCGTCATATACAGGACCGAATCCTCCGCCATATTCTCCTCTTCCTGATACAACCCCAAATACGCCAGAATATCCTTCTCCAAATCCAACTCCGAATCCTCCACCATATTCGTCCCCAGATGCATCACCATATAATCCACCAGTTCTACCATCATATCCTCCGCCAGATCCATCACCATACGCCCCACTAAATCCACCACTATATGGTCCACCTCGTCCAAACCCATATGCTTCAACCATTTCCTCGCCATATGCCCCACCAAATTCTCCTCCATACCCATCTCCGAATCCTCCTCCAATCTCCGATACTGCAGAAAATATACTTCCAGAATCCTCAGCATATGCTCCACTTGGTTCCCCACCATATGCTCCAAATGTTCCATCACCATAAGCTCCAACGTCATATGCTCCACCTGGCACACCGATATATGCTCCATTAGAACCAACGTCATATGCTCCCTCTGGTCCAGTACCATATATTCCACCAGATCCACCACCATACATTCCTCCAGGTAAACCACCGTATGTTCCACTTGGTCCAACACCATATGAGCCATCAGATACAACGCCAAAAGCCCCACCAGATCCAGCACCATATGTTCCACCAGGTCTACCACCATATGCTTCACCAGGTCTACCACCATGTGTTCTTCCAGGTCCAACGCCATATGTTCCTAGGCTGTATGCGTCACCAGAAGCAACCCCAAACGCCCCACCATATGTTCCGTGTCCACTTTCATACGCTCCACCAGGTACACCAACATATGCTCCACCAGGTCCACCGCCATACGCTCCTCCTTGTCCACCGTCAAATGCTGAACCAGGGCTTTCACCATATGAACCACCAATTCCCCTGCCATGTGCTCCTCCAGGTCCAATTCTATTAGCTCCCCCATATGACCTGCCAGGTCCACCATTATATGGCCCTCCAGGTCCACCACCATGTGACCCTCCAGGTCCATCCCCATATGTTCCACCTGGTCCTCCGCCAGTAGGTCCACCCCCATATGCTCCAAAAGGTCCTCCACCAAATGATCCTACAGGTCCACCAGGTACACCGCCAGCACCAGGCCTTCCAGGTCCAGTGCCATAGGCTCCACCAAGTCCTCCCGGTCCACCTCCATTAGCTCCTCCACCATATGACCCTCCATGTCCACCACCATATGCTCCACCAGATACAACGCCAAAAGACCCACCAAATTCTCCACCATATGTTCCAGCAAGTCCAGTGTCGTATGCTCCAGAAGTGCCACCGCCATATGCTCCACCTGGTCCATCTCCAATAGCCCCATTACGTCCACCACCAAATGACCCTCCAAATCCACCAGGTCCAAAGCCAGGTCCAGTGCCATAGGCTCCGGCAGGTCCACCACCATATGCTCCTCCTGGTCCACCGCCATATGCTGGATCAGGTTTTTCACCATATGAACCACCAATACCCTTGCCATGTGCTCCTCCAGGTCCAACTCCATTAGCTCCACCATATGATCCTCCAGGTCTACCTCCCCCATCAGGTCCAACGCCGTATGCTCCACCAAGTCCAGTGCCATAGGCTCCAGCAGGTCCACCGCCATATGCTCTTCCTGGTCCACCGCCATATGTGGAATCAGTTCTTTCACCATAAGAGCCTCCAATTCCCTTCCCATGTGCTCCTCCAGGTCCAGCTCCATTAGGTCCACCACCATGTGGCCCTCTAGGTCCACCACCATATGCTCCACCAGTACCACCGCCATATGTTCCACCAGGTCGGGCACCATATGATCCTCCGGGTCCACCAGGTACACCGCCACCACCAGGTCCACCAGGTCCAACGCCGTATGTTCCACCAGATCCAACGCCAGGTACAACGCCGAAAGCCCCACTAAATCCTCCACCATATGTTCCAGCAAGTCCAGTGCCGTATGCTCCAGCAGGACCACCGCCATTTGCTCCACCAGGTCCAACTTCATATGCTCCACCACCATATGACCCTCCAGTTCCACCACCATATGACCCTCCAGGTCCACCACCATATGCTCCACCAGGAACAACGCCAAAAGCCCCACCAAATCCTCCCCCATATGTTTCAACAAGTCTAGTGCCGTATGCTCCAGCAGGACCATCGCCATATGCTCTACCTGGTCCACCTCCATTAGGTCTACCACCATATGCTCCTCCAGGTCCACCACTATGTGACCCTCCAGGTCCACCACCATTAGGTCCACCACCATATGCTCCAAAAGGTCTTCCATCATACGATCCTCCAGGTCCACCAGGTACACCGCCAGCACCAGATCCACCAGATTCAACGCCATATGTTCTACTGCCAAATGAGACTCCAGATACAACGCTAAAAGCCCCACCATATCCTCCACCATATGAACCACCAATTCCTCCGGCATGTGCTCCTCCAGGTCCAACTCCATTAGCTCCACCACCATATGCACCACCAGGTCCACCACCAAGTGATCCTCCAAGTACACCAGGTATACCGCCACCGCCAGGTCCATCGCCATATGCTCCACCTGGTGCACCTCCATTAGGTCCACCTCCATATGCTCCACTGGATCCACCACCATATGATCCTCCAGGTCCACCAGGTCCGGCGCCATATGCTCCACTAGTTCCACCAACATATGATCCTCCTGGGCCACCAGAAACACTGCCACCACCAGGTCCATCGCCATATGCTCCACCTGGTCCACCTTCATTAGGTCCACCCCCATATGCTCCACCTGGTCCACCACCATATGCTCCGAAAGGTCCTCCACCATATGATCCTCCAGGTTCACCACCATATGACCCTTCCGGTCTTCCACCATATGCTCCACCAGGTCCACCACCATGTGACCCTCCAGGTCCACCCCCATATGTTCCACCTGGTCCACCTCTAGTAGGTCCACCACCATATGCTCCAGAAGGTCCTCCACCATATGATCCTCCAGGTCCACCAGGTACACCGCCAGCACCAGGCCCTCCAGGTCCAGTGCCATAGGCTCCACCAAGTCCTCCTGGTCCACCTCCATTAGCTCCTCCACCATATGACCCTCCATGTCCACCACCATATGACCCTCCAGGTTCACCACCATATGACCCTCCCGGTCTTCCAAATGCTCCACCAGGTCCACCACCATGTGCTTCATTAGGAACAACGCTAAAAGACCCACCAAATCCTCCACCATATATTCCAGCAAGTCCAGTGCCGTATGCTCCAGCAGGACCATAGCCATTAGGTCCACCTCCATATGCTCCACCAGGTCCACCACCATATAATCCTCCAGTTCCACCAGGTCCACCGCCATATGCTCCACCAGCATATGACCCTCCTGGTCCAATTGTTCCACCTCCACCACCAGATCCGTCGCCGTATGCTCCACCATGTCCTGCACCATAGGCTCCAGCAGGTCCACCGCCATATGCTCCTCCTAGTCCACCGCCGTATGCTCCTCCAGGTCCACCGCCGTATGCTCCTCCTGGTCCACCGCCATACGCTGAATCAGGTCTTGTGCCATATGAACCACCAATTCCTCCGGCATGTGCTCCTCCAGGTCCAACTCCATTAACTCCACCACCATATGCTCCACCAGGTCCACCACCATATAATCCTCCAAGTCCGGCGCCATATGCTCCACCAGGTCCAACGCCGTATGCTCCACCAGGTCCAGCCCCATTAGGTCCACCTCCATATGGTCCGCCACTTCCACCACCATATGATCTTCCTGGTCCACCAAGTACACCAATACCACCAGGCCCGCCAGTTTCAAAGCCGTATGCACCACCAGGACCACTGCCATATATTCCTCCTGGCCCACCAGGAACACCGCCACTGCCTGGTCCACCTCCATTAGGTTCACCACCATATGCTCCACCTGGTCCAGCGCCATATGATCTTCCGGGTCCACCAGGTACACCACCAGCGCCAGATCCACCAGATTCAACGCCATAGGTTCTACTGCCAAATGAGACTCCAGATACAACGCTAAAAGCCCCACCATATCCTCCACCATATGAACCACCAATTCCTCCGGCATGTGCTCCTCCAGGTCCAACTCCATTAGCTCCACCACCATATGCACCACCAGGTCCACCACCAAGTGATCCTCCAAGTACACCAGGTATACCGCCACCACCAGGTCCATCGCCATATGCTCCACCTGGTGCACCTCCATTAGGTCCACCTCCATATGCTCCACTGGATCCACCACCATATGATCCTCCAGGTCCACCAGGTCCGGCGCCATATGCTCCACTAGTTCCACCAACATATGATCCTCCTGGGCCACCAGAAACACTGCCACCACCAGGTCCATCGCCATATGCTCCACCTGGTCCACCTTCATTAGGTCCACCCCCATATGCTCCACCTGGTCCACCACCATATGCTCCGAAAGGTCCTCCACCATATGATCCTCCAGGTTCACCACCATATGACCCTTCCGGTCTTCCACCATATGCTCCACCAGGTCCACCACCATGTGACCCTCCAGGTCCACCCCCATATGTTCCACCTGGTCCACCTCCAGTAGGTCCACCACCATATGCTCCAAAAGGTCCTCCACCATATGATCCACCAGGTACACCAGGTACACTGCCAGCACCAGGCCCTCCAGGTCCAGTGCCATAGGCTCCACCAAGTCCTCCTGGTCCACCTCCATTAGCTCCTCCACCATATGACCCTCCATGTCCACCACCATATGACCCTCCAGGTTCACCACCATATGACCCTCCCGGTCTTCCAAATGCTCCACCAGGTCCACCACCATGTGCTTCATTAGGAACAACGCTAAAAGACCCACCAAATCCTCCACCATATATTCCAGCAAGTCCAGTGCCGTATGCTCCAGCAGGACCATCGCCATTAGGTCCACCTCCATATGCTCCACCAGGTCCACCACCATATAATCCTCCAGGTCCACCAGGTCCACCGCCATATGCTCCACCAGATCCACCAGCATATGACCCTCCTGGTCCAATTGTTCCACCTCCACCACCAGATCCGTCGCCGTATGCTCCACCAGGTCCTGAACCATAGGCTCCAGCAGGTCCACCGCCATATGCTCCTCCTGGTCCACCGCCGTATGCTCCTCCTGGTCCACCACCGTATGCTCCTCCTGGTCCACCGCCATACGCTGAATCAGGTCTTGCACCATATGAACCACCAATTCCTCCGGCATGTGCTCCTCCAGGTCCAACTCCATTAACTCCACCACCATATGCTCCACCAGGTCCACCACCATATAATCCTCCAGGTCCGGCGCCATATGCTCCACCAGGTCCAACGCCGTATGCTCCACCAGGTCCAGCCCCATTAGGTCCACCTCCATATGGTCCGCCACTTCCACCACCATATGATCTTCCTGGTCCACCAAGTACACCAATACCACCAGGCCCGCCAGTTCCAATGCCGTATGCACCACCAGGTCCACTGCCATATATTCCTCCTGGCCCACCAGGAACACCTCCACTGCCTGGTCCACCTCCATTAGGTCCACCACCATATGCTCCACCTGGTCCAGCACCATATGATCTTCCGGGTCCACCAGGTACACCGCCAGCACCAGATCCACCAGATTCAACGCCATATGTTCTACTGCCAAATGAGACTCCAGATACAACACTAAAAGCCCCACCATATCCTTCACCATATGAACCACCAATTCCTCCGGCATGTGCTCCTCCAGGTCCAACTCCATTAGCTCCACCACCATATGCACCACCAGATCCACCACCAAGTGATCCTTCAAGTACACCAGGTATACCGCCACCACCAGGTCCATCGCCATATGCTCCACCTGGTGCACCTCCATTAGTTCCACCACCATATGCTCCACTGGTTCCACCACCATATGATCCTCCAGGTCCACCAGGTCCGGCGCCATATGCTCCACTAGTTCCACCAACATATGATCCTCCTGGCCCACCAGAAACACCACCACCACCACCAGGTCCATTGCCATATGCTCCACCTGGTCCACCTTCATTAGGTCCACCCCTATATGCTCCACCTGGTCCACCACCATATGCTCCGAAAGGTCCTCCACCATATGATCCTCCAGGTTCACCACCATGTGACCCTCCCGGTCTTCCACCATATGCTCCACCAGGTCCACCACCATGTGACCCTCCAGGTCCACCCCCATATGTTCCACCTGGTCCACCTCCAGTAGGTCCACCACCATATGCTCCAAAAGGTCCTCCACCATATGATCCACCAGGTACACCAGGTACACTGCCAGCACCAGGCCCTCCAGGTCCAGTGCCATAGGCTCCACCAAGTCCTCCTGGTCCACCTCCATTAGCTCCTCCACCATATGACCCTCCATGTCCACCACCATATGACCCTCCAGGTTCACCACCATATGACCCTCCCAGTCTTCCAAATGCTCCACCAGGTCCACCACCATGTGCTTCATTAGGAACAACGCTAAAAGACCCACCAAATCCTCCACCATATATTCCAGCAAGTCCAGTGCCGTATGCTCCAGCAGGACCATCGCCATTAGGTCCACCTCCATATGCTCCACCAGGTCCACCACCATATAATCCTCCAGGTCCACCAGGTCCACCGCCATATGCTCCACCAGATCCACCAGCATATGACCCTCCTGGTCCAATTGTTCCACCTCCACCACCAGATCCGTCGCCGTATGCTCCACCAGGTCCTGCACCATAGGCTCCTGCTGGTCCACCGCCATATGCTCCTCCTGGTCCACCGCCATATGCTCCTCCTGGTCCACCGCCATATGCTCCTCCTGGTCCACCGCCATATGCTCCTCCTGGTCCACCGCCGTATGCTCCTCCTGGTCCACCGCCATACGCTGAATCAGGTCTTGCACCATATGAACCACCAATTCCTCCGGCATGTGCTCCTCCAGGTCCAACTCCATTAACTCCACCACCATATGCTCCACCAGGTCCACCACCATATAATCCTCCAGGTCCGGCGCCATATGCTCCACCAGGTCCAACGCCGTATGCTCCACCAGGTCCAGCGCCATTAGGTCCACCTCCATATGGTCCGCCACTTCCTCCACCATATAATCCTCCTGGTCCACCATGTACACCGCCACCACCAGGCCCACCAGTTCCAACGCCGTGTGCTTCACCAGGTCCACTGCCATATATTCCTCCTGGCCCTCCAGGAACACCGACACTGCCTGATCCGCCTCCATTAGATCCACCACCATATGCTCCACCTGTTCCAGCGCCATATGATCTTCTGGGTCCACCAGGTGCACCGCCAGCACCAGATCCACCAGATTCAACGCCATATGTTCCACTGCCAAATGAGCCTCCAGATACAACGCTAAAAGCCCCACCAAATCCTCCACCATATGAACCACCAATTCCTCCGGCATGTGCTTCTCCAGGTCGAACTCCATTAGCTCCACCACCATATGCTCCACCAGGTCCACCACCATATGATCCTCCAAGTCCACCAGGTACACCGCCTGCACCAGGCCCTCCAGGTCCAATGCCGTATGCTCCACCAAGTCCAGCGCCTTTAAGTCCACCGGTATATGCTCCACCAGGTCCTCCACCGTATGATCTTCCAGGTCCACCAGGTTCACCAGGTACCCCGAAAGCACCAGGCCCTCCAGGTCCAGCGTGATATGGAGCTGGTCCAGGTCCTCCTCCATTAGCTCTACCACCATATGACCCTCCAATTCCAAAACCATATGATCCTCCAGGTCCACCAGGTCCGGCGCCATATGCTCCACCAGGTTCAACATCATATGCTCCCGCAGATCCACCGCCATATATTCCTCCTGGCCCACCAAGTACACCACCACCACCAGACCCACCAGGTCCACCTCCATATGCTCCACCAGATCCATCGCCATATGCTGAATCAGGTCTTACACCATATGAACCTCCAATTCCTCCGGAATGTGCTGCTCCAGATCCAACTCCATTAAATCCACCACCATATGCTCCACCGGATCCGCCACCATATGATCCTCCTGGTCCACCATGTATACCGCCACCACCATGCCCACCAGATCCAGCGCCATTAGGTCCACCTCCATATGCTCCTGCAGGTCCACCACCATATGATCCTCCAGGTCCAGCAGGTATACCGCCACCACCAGGCCCACCTGGTCCAACGCCGTATGCTCCACCAGGTCCAAAGCCATATTTTCCACCAGGTCCAACGTCATATGCTCCAGCAGATCCACCGTCATATATTCCTCCTGGCCCACCAGGTACACCGCCACCATCAGGTCCAACACCATATGCTCCACCAGGTAAAACGCCAAAAGCCCCTCCAAATCCTCCACCATATGCTCCAACAAGTCCAGTGCCGTATGCTCCAGCAGGACCACCGCCATATGCTCCACCTGGTCCACCTCCATTAGGTCCACCAACATATGCTCCACCAGGTCCAGCACCATATGACCCTCCAGGCTCACCACCATATGATCCTCCAGGTCCACCAGGTACACGGCCACCACCAGGCCCACCAGGTCCAACCCCATATGCTCCACCAGGTCCAACACCATATGATCCTCCTTGTCCGCCAGGTACACCACCAGTACCAGACCCACCAGATTCAACGCCATATGTTCCACTGCCATATGAGCCTCCAGATACAACGCTAAAAGTCCCACCATATGTTCGAGCGAATCCAGTGCCATATGCACCAGCACGATCACCGCCATGTGCTGCTCCTGGTCCATCTCCAATAGCTCCATTACGTCCACCGCCATATGCTCCACCAGATCCACCACCATATGACCCTCCAGGTCTAATTGTTCCTCCTCCAGGTCCATCGCCATGTGCACCACCAGGTCCTGAGCCATAGGCTCCAGCAGGTCCACCGCCATATGCTCCTCCTGGTCCACGGCCATATGCTGAATCAGGTCTTGCGCCATATGAACCACCAATTCCCCCTGCAAGTGCTCCTCCAGGTCCAACTCCATTAGTTCCACCACCATATGACCCTCTAGGTTTACCACCATATGCTCCATCATTTGCTCCACCACCAGGTAAAATGCCAAACGCCCCACCAAATCCTCCACCATATGCTCCAGTAAGTCCATTGCTGTATGCTTTAGTAGGACCATGACCATATGCTCCTCCTGGTCCACCTCCATTAGGTCCAACTCCATATGCTCCACCAGGAGCACCGCCATATGCTCCACCAGGTCCAACGCCATATGCTCCAGAAGATCCACCACCATATATTGCTCCTGGCCCACCAGGTACACCGCCACCACCATGTCCATCGCCATATGCTCCAATAGGTAAAACGCCGAAAGCCCTACCAAATCCTCCTCCATATGTTCCACCAAGTCCCGTGCCATATGCATCAGCACGACCACCGCCATATGCTCCACCAGATCCACCACCATATGACCCTCCAGGTCCAATTGTTCCACCTCCACCACCTGGTCCTGCGCCATAGGATCCAGCAGGTCCACCGCCATATGCTCCACCAATTCCTCCAGCATATGCCCCTCTAGGTCCAACTCCACTAGCTCCACCTCCATATGCTCCACTAGGTCCATCACCATGTGATCTTCCAGGTACACCAGGTACACCGTTACCACCAGGCACACCAGGTCCAACGCCGTATGCTCCACCAGGTCCAGCGCCGTATGCTCCACCAGAGTCAACGCCATATGCTCCAGCAAATCCACTGCCATGTATTCCTCCTGGCCCACCAGGTACCCCACCACCACCAGATCCAACGCCATAAGTCCCACCAAATCCTCCACCATATTCTCCAGCAAGTCCTGTGGCGTATGCTCCAGCTGGATTAGCGCTATATGCTCCACCTGGTCCACCTCCATTAGGTCCACCACCATATGCTCCTACAGGTCCTGCACTATATGACCCTATAGATGCACCACCATATGATCCTCTAGATCCTCCAGGTCCAACGCCATGCCATCCACCAGCTCCAGCTCCATATGCTCCGGCAGATCCACCACCAGATGCTCCACCATGTACACCACCAAAAGTCCCACCAAATCTTCCACCATATGTTCCCGCCAGTGCAGTGCCATACGCTCCACCAGGTTTACCACCATATATTCCAGCAAGTCCAGTGCCGTATGCTCCAGCAGGACCACTGCCGTATGCTCCAGCAGGACCACCGCCATATGCTCCACCTGATCCACCTCCATTACGTCCACCACCATATCCTCCACCATGTCTAGCACCATATGACCCCCCAGGTCCACCACCATATGATAATCCAGGTACACCAGGTACTCCGCCTATACCAGGCCCACCAGGTCCAACGCCGTATGCTCCACCAGGTCCAGCACCATATGCTCCAGCAGGTCCAACACCATACGATACTCCAGGTCCACCAGGTACATTGCCACCTTCAGGCCCACCCAATTCAATGCCATATGTTCCACCGCTATATGAGCCTCTAGATACAGCGCCATATGCTCCACCAGATATCTTTCCTGAAACTTGGATATACGCTCCTCCTGGTCCACCACCATATGATTTACCAGTCTTACCACCATATGCTCCACCAGATAAACCACCATATGTTCCACCAGATAAGCCACCATATGATCCACCTGGTCCACTCCCATATGTTCCTCGAGGTCCACCGCTGTATGCTCTTCCAGGTCCACCACCATATGACCCTCCAGGTCTATCGCCATATGATCCACCTAGTCCAACGCCATATGCTCTACCAGATACAATGCCATGTGCCCCACCAAATACCCCGCTATCTGCTCCACTAGGTTCACCTCCATCAGCTCCATTAGGTACACCACCATATGCTCCACCAGGTCCACCACCATGCGTTCCTCCAGGTCCAATGCTATGTGTCCCACGAGGTACACTGCCATACCCTCCACCATATGCTTTACTGAATCCTCCAGCAGCTAACGAACCTATAAATAGTATTAAAAATAAATACAGTTTGCTCTACGTTTTAATTTTATATAAAATACTTATACAATTTTAAATTAATAATTAGATTCAATAATGAGATACGAAACTTATTAACACCTATCAAATTAATTGTCATTTATCGGGTCTTTGTTTGCGTGTTACACGATTGTGATTATTTGATGTCACTTGTGAGGTGAAATGTTTAACTTTTTTCGAATAATGCAAAGGAAAATAAATTTAAATGGTAATTGATTAATTTTCGTAAAATTTACATATTTAATGATTAAAAAAGATTTATTTGTTAAGTGCAAAAAAAAACTATTTGAAAAAGTTGCTATCCATTGTATCAGTCAATGCTCACTCCATATCCGCCACCGGAACTTTACAGAACAATGCAAAAAGGGGAAGAAAAGAAAATAATAATAAAAATAAAATAACAAAAAACTGGAAAAAAAATTTCAAATTTTGAAAAATTTATAACCTTAAAATTTAAATTTTAAAAAGTCTGGAAATTAAAAGATATAATCAGCTCACACGATTATATCCGCGAAAAAAGAGTGCTTTCTAACATTGCATCAATATAGCCAAAGCAAAATATATCAATGCAATAATGTGAGAAGCACTCAAAATTTTACAAAAAAATTTCAACAAATAAAATAGAGCACAATAAGTAAAAATATTTCGTAAAAACAGAAAATAAAATATAAAGAAAATACAGAAGTGAACATGAAATGAAAACTATAAAGCGAATTCAAATGAACTTACATGAACGGAAAATTTCTTAAGAATGATTTCAAATACTTTCGTAGCAAGATTGCCAGATTGCAAAAAATGAAAACAAAAGCGTAAATCGTGCTAAAAGCGTAACTAGGGGAGTTTTGTATTAAAGTGCGTTCTTGCTGCATTACTGAAGCGCGTTTGATTTGTTAGTTGCCAAGGATGGACCTGAAAATGGATGTACGCAAGGTAATATTATACTGGATAATTTAAAGAAGTGGACAATCAACAATATTAGAAAATAAATATTTATTTAAGAAATAAAGAAAAAAATATATAAAATAGAAAAGAGAAAGAAACATGAATTGCCTGTTTTCCCCATAGTTTTAGCCGCGGATTTGCCCGAAATGGATTTGCACATTTATATATATATATATATATATATACACACACACACTCGATTCATAATTTTTTCATTTTCCTCAGTGTACTTTAGACAATATACAATATTTCACGCATTGCTTAATTTTGGAAAAATCCAGAGCATTTTAAAAAGATAAAATTAATGTACTCATTAATAATTTAGTTTGCGCATTGTGTAGTATTACTATGTATTAAGGCTAAATGCTGCTCTTAAGTAATAGCGATAATTTCAATAAATCTTTGAGTTTTGCTATCAAAATTGAAAATGAATTTATCTGGGATGCGAGTATTGCTATCGTAAGTGTAACATAATATTCAAAAATATGATGCTAAGCTATAAATCACAAACAATCAAAATAAAATGAGAGGCCACATAGTACAGATTAAGGAAAATAGTATTAAAAAACTTTAATTAATATAAATTTGATTTGATGTAATACAAAATTAAAATAGTCATGTTATTGCGAATTAATTTAAACATTAGAGTAAAAGAATTAATTATTCATTTGATTTCACTTGTAAAAGATAAAAAATAAATTTGTGAAAATTCATGAAAAATATAAATATGTGCTTCAAAATGTAAAATGTTATTCAAATAATGCTACACACCATGTCCACTACTACCCATGCTTGTGCCATATCCTGTTCCATATTTGCCAGGACCTACCCAACCTGCATATAATATTAAAATAACAATTATAATGACGGTTTCACAAAATAACATAAAACAAAAAAAACTTTTTTTATTGTAAAAAAGAATATATAAAAGAAATTGCAGCAATTATTATTAAATTCATATTTTTTTCAAGTACTCAGGCTGTTCAAAGAAGAAGTGACTAAAAGTTATCTTTTAGGTCAAAAAGTAACTTTAATTCAATTAACAATAAATAAAGAAACGGAAATTTTTAATTACTACAGATATTTTTTTTAAACATTCGCAAAAATTTTTAGCCTTCGTTTCTGTCTACTGTTTCATAATTTTTTTTTTATTTCATCAACTTGCTTTTCTCAAAATTACATACATAATCTAAATTTCCCTTAAATATTCAATTGGGTCAAGATCTGGTGAGTTAGCTGTTCACTGTAGCTCTGTTGGAGTTCTTCTAGCCAGATCTTAGTTGATTTTTTAAATGATAAAGTTAAATATTCTTGAAAAGTAAAATTATCCCCAAAAAAAGTTTTCAGACGGTGGAGTCATGCAGTGCTCGAAACTATCTTATATCGGAATAAGCCTTTTCTTTGAAGATACATCATACCCTTCAATGTACATTTGATCTCATTCATAATATCACACTAACTGCGAATTTTACCAAACGTTTAAGGCACATTTTTTTAAATGATTCCTGTTTTATTCCTTACACAAGAGTACCTCGAGTGCCATAGGACACATAGAACATATACTTTCATCACTAAATAATATTTTTTTCCAATTCTGCAAGCCCTATAACAATCATCCATGCAAGCTCTTGTTTAAATGTCATAAGTAGCCTCGTTTTTGGAAGACGAAATTAGAATTCAAATTTATGATGACGTCTATTTCGAACTTTTTTTTCTTCTTACCATTTCCAATGCAAAATTATAATCGTTCAAAATTATAATCGTACCAAAATAATTTTAACCGTTCAATCGACGATTTAATTTTCCAACAAGATTTAGCTTCAACTCATATATCAAAATCAACACCGCTCTGACTGTAGCAATGGCAAAATTATAGTACTACCGTCAGTGGCTAATCCAAATCTTAAGTAAAAATGAAATTTATGGAGGATATTAATGAAAGAACTGCAAGAAGTTGCTTCTACAAACAAAACTGAATTAGTGGAAATCATTAAGTCTACTTAGGCTAATGTGACCACAAAAAAAGACTGCATACATTCATCAATGATTTAATTTTCCAACAAGATTTAACTTCCCCTCATACATCAAAATCAACTTAGATCTGATAGGAGGAAACGGCAAAATTATTAGCACTACCGTGAGTGGCTAATTCAAATCTTAAGCGAAATGAAATTTATGGAGAATATTAATGAAAAAAATTACAAGAAGTTTCTCCAGCAAACAAAATGTCTAGCACCATAT